GGGAAAGAGGGAAGAAAAAGAATTTTTTTTTTCAGTTAAGAGTGCTATAATGCAAGTGAAACACTGTATTTTATAATTTCATTTCTTTGACAATCTTTCTTATGAAAATCAGAGCTACAGTGTCAAGACACACATGAAACCTTAGAGGGAGGCAAGGATTCACAATAGATATTTTCAGCTTGCCTCACCTAAAGTATTCATGCAGTGGGGAAGCACGTTAAATTCTACTCTTAACTCTATGGATCAAAGTCATGGCTGCTATCCATCAGCCATTTGGATAATCAAAAGATCTTTTAGCCCCTAGAATCTAGCCAGCAGATCCAAGTCTCAGCATAAGTCCCGCAGCAGCAATCCCTCATCAGGCACTACTCTTTCAGACTTCTTCCATGAGATTTGCAACTGTAGCCTTGCAGTAGCACTAGCCAAAGTTCAACTTTTGTTCTCTTTCTGCACCTCATCTTTAACATCAGCATCAGCTGTGCTCACGTGCATCTCTTTCCAGCCGGTAACTAGTGCTTTAAACACAAAATAGAAAGATACACACCTTTCATCAGAAAGATGATACCATCTTCTCATAATTGTTTTCCTGAGTATTTTGGAAGAGCTGAAAGGCTCAGTTTCCCAGGAAGTACTGGCACTTCTGTAACATTTTTTATTTGTATTCAGTGCATGATTTCAAGTATATGGAAACTAAGGTTTGAGGAAGTGAATTCCAACACTGAATAAAAACACTCCTCCTTGGAAAAAGTACACAAAATTATTTCTTCATGTTCAATGTAATGTTTAAAGTCAACTCCACTCAAAGAGCAGGGCACAAATAGCAGCTAACAAAGGTTTCAGGTACAGAAGGTTTTCTTTCTTTGTTTTAAATAATAATGAAAATACTACTGCAAAAAGCTAATTTTTGTTACACTGGTGAGCTCCTTTTTTGCTTTTTCTGCTTTAAGCACATCTATAGCTCTATTTTTAGATGCTGCTGTTACATTAACAGCATTCTCCTAGAGGCCAAAGTTGAGTGCCCAAGAGAAGACCAGAAGATACTCCTTTAGAAAAAGAGTGAGAAGTAGAGAGGTGAAAGAGCTCCACAGTTCTTTCATACAGAAGTTAACAGTGGAAGCAGTAACTCCATGCAATATCACAGTTTTCACAGAAGGAAAGGATAAAAACTGGTTAACAGTAACTACTATTAAGCAAAGAAGAAATTAATAGTGCATACACATTCAGTTCTTGTACCTCATTCATGTTTCATGTTTGGACATGTGAGTTGAAAGCCTGCTCAGAGAATACATAGAAATGGATGATAAGCAAGTGCAAAAGATAAGAAATCATTTTTGTCTTGGAAAAGTCAGGAATGGGAAATGCAAGACAATAAAGCAAGTGCAAAGTGCACTCCCTTATATGCATACAATATGCGCAGCATATTAAATGTATTTCTTCCCACAGGGCTCTTGTTTTTTGGGTTTTTTTTTTGTGTGTGTGTTTGTTTGTGGTTTTTGGTTTTTTTGTTTTTTTAATGAAGAACTACAGCAATCAAAGGCTTAACTAGAAATCTGTATCATTTCTGTGAAGAGGAGTAGAAACAGGACTGTCTCAAAGTAGTTATTCCCTAAACAGATGAGACACAGGACAGGAGAGGAAGCAGAAGAGAAGTGGCAAACATAGTGCTTGAGGCTGAACAACCGCTAAGATTCAGGTACAGAATCTAACTAAAGTGTCATAGCACTTAAGAGGCTCAAAAGCGGGGCCTCATCCTGGGCTTCAGATCAAAGTTAGTTGCAGAATATTTGTGAGCAATAAGAGTACACAGAACTGCACAACTTTGAAGTTCCAGCCTGCCCTTGCTTTTATCATGTACGGAAGAAAAACAATTAAGTTAGTATTAAGCAACTTTTTCCAGCATGGTTAAGATGAATAATCCACTTGTATGCGATAATGTTTTGGTTTTTTTTAATGGAAGGTTACAGCATAAATGTTCTGTTCAATTCAAAATACCTAAATAATTAGCGTTTTGAAATACTTCTGTGCATACACGCAGCTTCTCAATTCTTGCTGAAATAGGGTGGGAGGAAGACAACAGGAGTATTTTTGAAGTGCTTCATGAATACTGTAGAATTACAATGACTCCTCTGCTCTGAAATGCTAGAGCCTTAACCAGTATACTTCTAATCATGTAGCATTTTACAGCGTGCTCATGTTTAAAGTGCAGTTATATAGATCATAAGAGTACTCTCTTTTTTATCATGAGGAGGCATTTGCTTTCAAGACTGGTTTGTCAGGACTCAGGATGACTGCGTTTGAGGGCCTAACAAAACAGACCAGCGATAGTTTCTTATAAGCCAAGACAGCTTTTTCAACAGTGCAAGTTATCAGCAATCCACTGTGTAAAGAAATGACTACACATTGCATAATCACTCTGCCCCTGCCAAGACAAGCAAACATAAAAGTAAATGTTCTTATTTGCTTGAAGACATGTGGCATGTCATGCTAACATCACTACTGTCAGTATACTTACGTGGTCTACTAACTTGTATCCACTAGGCATTATGGTATAACTTTTCATTATGTATACCTTTTACTTTGAAAAAACTTGCATCTTTTGGAAGACTTACACTCCCCAGATAGGGAAAGCTTCTGTCTGAAGAAAAATACAGTACTAGAGATAGCAGTGCAAACAATTATTTGCAGCTCAGTTGCTGATGTCCTTGGCTAGATGTCCATCAGGTCACCATGACAGAGGGCCTATTCCACTTTTTCTGAGGAGGATTCTACTTCCAGTGCTACACCTATAAAGCTGTAGGTGTACTTAAATACAATTATGAAATTACTCAATTTTCAATGCCCTAGATATGCTCACAGGCCTGAATTCTCAAAACCAACAAGTATCTTGGTTGTGTAACATTAAAAGTCAATGTTTAGTAAAATCTGGTAAATTATTGAGTTCTGTAAAGCTCAAGGTATTTCTTACAAGCACCCCACCCCTTGTCCACCCATCTGCAAAAATGTAATGTGCATTTTTATCCTTTTATGATGGTGTCTTATAACTGAGTGTATGCCAGAAACTGCTGGCACAGATTTCTGTCTTGTTCACTGCATTCCGCCACTGTGAAATGATTTGGTTCCATGATTATCAATCTTTGGTCAAATGACTGCCAGTATTAACATAGATCTTCCTCATGTCTTGCTAAGCATCACAGTGAATGAAATTCTTATACAATACAATTACAATTTAACATAAAACAAAGTACATATCAATTACCATGTCAATATACACTTGTAAATAATAGTATATTATGAAAAGAACAGTTACAAGACAACCTTGCATGCCTTTTATTTAGGAAAGTGTTCTGAGAAATATTACACTGTCACTTATTATTATTGTATTCTTTATGAGTAACAGAAATAAACCTCTGATCTATTGGATCCAAGACTTCTCACTGTGTCAAAGCAGCACTGAGAACCAGAGAAGCAGAGTACCTATACATTACAACATAGTAGGTGATACTAATACAACTCAGTTTCTCAGCTTACATCTCGTAATTATGGCCCTTCAATTTCCAAATAAGTATCACATACATATATTGTAAATAAGTATCAACTCACATGCTGAGGAGAGTTTAGAATAGTTTTCTCCTCTTCAAGGAAATATTTAACAGCACAGGCTTTCACATTAATTCACTGCTCAAGAATACAGCAAATCAACTAAACTACCTGCCAGCTACTCTAACTATTCAGATTCACATAATGGATGCGATTCCTGCCTACTAAAGTAACATGCCTTACAATGCTTCCACTTCATCCTTCCAATTCAAACAGAATACCTTAACTAGCACAAAAATACCCCAGATACAAAATCCAAAAGCAGACAGTTCGTTCTACTGATGACTGAATTTAACTTTCAGCTATTCTTTGTACTGTAGCTTATTTTTAGTTTTCAGTTGTAGTTATCACAGCAAACAGTGATTATCTGAGTATGATGCTTCAATATACAGGACAAAATGCCAAGAAATAAGAATAAAGGTATTTGTATAGAAATTCATACATATCGTCAAAAAATTATATCCAGAGACACAAGAGTCTTGGTGAAAACACCAAGCTGTTACACTAGAATACAGTAAAATTAGACTTTCTTTAAAATATTTCTCATGGTACGTTCACTGAACAAGTGTGAAGATCAGGAGAACTGAAATGTTTTTAACTTTTGCCTTGAGTAATTCCAGAACAGTATACCATTTCTTTCCAAAACCAAAAATAGTTAGCTTATAATGATGTTTTATGATTTAATGTTTAGTACATGAAATTTCCCTTTCAGTTCTTTTTGGTGCCTGTTATATAACACCTTTTACTTCACTTAAAACCACATTTGAAAAAAATTGCTGCGAAATACAGTTGTCCTTAATGCTACCATTAATTTGCAATTTTAGACATCAGAGAAGCAATACTGTGGACATAAATCTTACCACTGAGCTTGAAAACCTGTGGTCTGTGTACAATCCAACTATTAGCAGGTGCGGTTCACATCAAGAAGTAACTCATAAGAACATTTTTTTAGCAAGTGCAGAAGACTAAAAGCTAAATAAGTACATCACTAGAAAGGCTATGCAAAGCAAAAAATACGATTACAGCGACACACCAATAGCTTAATTGTCTAGGGCACAGTTAAGTGTATCAAGACAACAGAAGGCAAGACCTTATGTCCATGTCCAAAACTAGTACTCATTTCCTGCCCCCAGTGTAAGACAAAGATAATTATAGTTTAGGTGATAGCTCAAGGCAATCTGGAAGGAAAAAACATACCACCATCACACCCCTCTGCTCCCACAAAAAACAACAACAACAACAACCCACAGAAAAAACCCTCAAAAAACAAACCAACAATCCCAAAACCAGAAGAGCTGCTACGAAAAGAATAAACTACTGATGAGAATTAACCTCAAAATGACAAATATGAAAACTTATTTTATGTACACTCATACACACATAGTTATCAAGTCCTTATCCATGAAATTACTGAATTACAAACAGCTGAATAAACAACAAAGATCACGTGTACACACAAAAATATCAAAGTAATATGAAAAACCTGAAAAGTCTCATAGCAATTTTTTTAACAACCTGCTACCAAATGCAAAGACCAGCTCATCTGTGTAATTAAGAAATTTCTGAAGACACTTTCACTTTCTAGATTGCTACTCAATTTCCCAAGTACATCTATATCACTGCTAACCTTGGTTAGACTCTGCAAAGAGCAAAACCGAAGGATTCACATTCAGAAACAAGAAAAGATGGTAGTAAAGACACAGATTTACTCAAGTTACAAAACAAGGCAAGCAAAAGACATGTTTTCCAGACAACAGTCCCTTGAGAAAAGCAGATAAACAATTAGGAGTGGGTTTTTTAAGAGGCTACTAATTTTTCTAAACTAGCCATTAACGGATCTTAGAATATACAGGGATTAAAGAAAACTAGGTGCTATGAGAAATGTCATTACTTTGGAAAGAAAGGAAGTTAATTTCCTCTTGGAAGCAGGACTGAGTGAAAATAAAAACAAAAACAAAACACCAGACTCATCATAACCACTTATTAAAATGTGCAGCCATGAGCATACACACACAGCTAAGGATTCAATAGTTCAATCTGAAAATTCTCAGTACCACTTGCAAAGAGACTCAGACTAAAACTCTACATCTCATAAAAGAAATTCAATGTGGCAGTTTAACTGCACTCTAGGAAAAGACAGATTCTTAAAATAAACAAGGATTACTCCATTGATTTGCATTATTATATAACCCATGCACTTTGCACAGAAAATATAGGAGACTTGCTTAATGCAGGTAAGAGATACTCAAAGATGCTGCACATAGCAGATGGCATCTAGGTATCTGTAGCAAATCAAAACTACAGCAAGAGTTTGTTATAAAGCTGTCAGTTGAAAAAAAAACCACAAACAGATAAGTTTATGGAATTTTAGGTTTGCCTAACTTACAATAAAGAAGCAAGGAAGTCACTTTAGAGGAAGTAACTGACACAGTCCAAGTAACACAACCACAAAAAAAACATTATAAAGCACATCAAATCAAGTGGAGAGTAGGGAATATGTATCAAAGTAGACAATCTCCAAACCAGTGTGAACGAAGTGCTGAAAACACTAAAAAACAAGATTTAAAACAAACAAAACACACAGACAGTAATTTAGCAATGAAATACTAGGACACAAAGTATAGCAGTGTACATGCACTGCTTTTGTGCCTTGAATAGCACAACAACTAGAACTCAGTCACAGAAAATTTCTGACTGAACAAAAACAGGTTTTCATAGCTTATACTATAAAATATTGCCAGGCATTACTAACAGTAGAAGTCATTGAAAGCTTATGAATATACTTGCTTGAAAGTAAAATCTTTAAGCCACTAGATTATGTACTCTCCAGAAAAAGACTTTATATAAGTACACCAAATTCTACTAGTCAGCAAGAATGAGTCTGACCCTTAATAAAAGAATGTTCTGGGAACAAAGACTGTTCCTTACTGTACTAAATTTAAATATATCACCATCTGATACATAACACCAACTCACTGAGACCTCACTTCAGTAATCTTGTCAACATACCACCAACTTTTCTTTAAGTAAATCCAAGATTTAACAGGTTACTCACACTGCCAACAGATAGCTAAATCTGTTTGCAGAAGCATAGTGGATAACCATGAAACACATTCAGGATGGCTTTCCTAATCTAAATCTTCTGCTTTCCTACTCTTATGCAAAAAGAGTAAAAGAAAACACACACTTCTTTGCTTCTAACGCGGTGTATTTTCATGTTTGCATGACTAACATTACAACATATCACTAGCTATTAAAAGGAGTTATCAAAATGCAGGCAAACAGAAATATGTCAGTATGTAACTTTATCCATTGTGTGTCTTATAAATTAGACAGAATCCTAAAAGTAAGTTTCTGAATTTTTCCTGAAGCTACAAAAGGAAAAATTAAACCACTGCACAGAATGCAATGCTACAGAAGACAGTATGCAACAAGAACATCCAGCCTAGGAAGTGCAGTGTTAAGTGAGTTTCAACACTGTGTAAGTACCTAGATAGAAACAAACTACTCTAACTGCAACCTTCTGTTGAGAGAGACTATAGGACTAAATGCCAAGCATGAGGGGACAAATAATGCGTTCTAACAGAGTGTCGAGAAACCTGGTATGATTCTCTCTTCCCCACTCTCTCCAAGGAAACAGATTAATGAAATCTGCAGCCTATGATCTGTATATACCTGCAGAGACCAGCTGTACAAAAATACTTAAAATATAATCACAATTTTTAAGAAGTCATATACACTCATGACTACTGCATATGGATAAGCTCAGTATCAACAGTGTACCAAAGCCAAATTACTGAAAAATCTGATGTAAGCTGTTTTGATGAATTTATATTATTGTAACATCAGTAAGCTACAGCATCACAGAAGTATTTTATTTAACCACCTCTTCATCAATGATTAAAAATTTTAAATCAAAATAATCTGTTTTGAAAGTTATCCTACATCTATGCACCACCTGCTGTGCAACTGCTTCATCATTCTTTCGCTCCCAAGCTGCACAGTTACACAAAGGTTTTAAAGGTGTGCATCAGTTGCTAAAATAACTGCTTCAGACACTCATTGCAATCAACAGTTGAAGACTCTCATGCCTGACAAAACAGGTGCCAGACAAGCAGTCTGTGAGTTTGCACTACACATTTATGCTCACTATAATACAAAATTTAGTTTCAATATGTTTTTAATCTTACACATTTTAACACTATCAGTTTGTAGTCCCCTTAACTCCCCCCAGAAAGGAGGGGAAAAATAACCTTCGAAGTATTCCTTCAACAGCTTTTCCTTGGAAATAGGTATACGCACACCTGTTCTGGGATATGACAACTACAATTTGAGACTTTATATGCTGCACCTCATACCAAGAGGAGTCTAAAACAATCTCTTGGGAACAATTAGACACTGTCACACTTAGAATTCTTGTTCAATGACACAAGATAACTTTATTCTCTCTAGATATTGCAGATGTTACCAAAACATTAAAAGTTACTTACGGTTTTCCCCCTGGAATTCCTGCTAGATTTGGAGGGATTCCAGGTACTCTCATGTGAGGAGGAGGATCAAATCCAACCTGACAATGAAAAATTAATTAATCTTACACTTGTAATTTCTCACTTGGAAAGCCCCTTTTCTTAACCCCCAAGATAGTATGCATTTAACCAAAATTTACCTACAGTCTTAGTTAAGTGCACATCCCTTCACTGGACAGGAAAATCAAGACATTTTCGCTATGCATGTGTGATACTTTCGTGAGAAGTATTCATATGCAAACAGAAAAACAATAATGTATATCATGCATTCATACCACTAAGTGTAACACAAATACTCCTGTGACAGCACAGAGCTAGCCATGGTATTAGAGTCCATGGTGTGTCAGCATGTAGCCACACTAGCATTCTTCAACTCTGCAACAGCTATTGCATACCCATGCAGGCACAGTGCAGTGCTGGTAAGCAGCTTCCAGCTCCAGCTAGAAACTTTGCATGGCTCCACACTGCACTGTGAGCACTACAGCTGAGAGAGCAAAGCAACACCACAAGGTGCAGACAAATTTGCCTACTGCCTCACAGAATCACAGAATGGTAGAGGTGGAAGGGATCATTGGAGATCTAGTCCAACCCCACCCTACTAGAGCAGGATCACCTGGAGAAGATCACATAGGAACACATCCAGGCGGGTTTTGAATGTCTCCAGAGAAGGAGACTCCACAACCTCTCTGGGCAGCCTGTTCCAGTGCTCTGGTATGCTCACAGTAAATAAGTTTTTCCTTATGTTTAAGTTGAACCTCCTGTATTACAGTTTGTGACCACTGTCCCTTGTACTGCCACTGGGCACAAACAAGAAGAGTCTGATCCCATCTTCCTGACACCTGTGTCCTTTAGATATTTCTAAGCATTAATGAGATACCCCCTCAGTTTCCTCTTCTCCAGGCTAAACAGATCCAGCTCTCTCAGCCTTTTCTCATATAGGAGATGCTCCAGTCCCCTCATCATCTTAGAGGCTCTACACTGGACTCTCTCCAGTGGTTCCCTGTCCTTCTTGAACTGCGGAGCCCAGAATTGGACACTGTATTCCAGAGGTGGCCTTACCGTGGCAGAGTAGAGAGGCAGGGTAACCTCCCTTGACCCACTGGCTTCTTAATGCATCCCAGGATGCCATTTGCCTTCTTGGCTGTGAGGGCACATTGCTGGCTCATGGTCAGCCTGATTTCCATCAGGACTCTCTTTTCTCTTAAGCTGTTCTCCAGCAGGTCAGCGCCCATCCTGTACTCATACATGGGGTCATTCTTCTCCATATGCAGTACCCTACACTTGCCCTCTGTCCTGGTTTGAGCTAAATAGAACTACTTTTCTAGTTAGGATTTTACTTTTCAACTCAGTCTCTTCAAAGTGGCTGAACCTGCTGAAACTAGCAGCATGATTTTCCAGACAGTGTGTACTGCTACAAGTGATAATCACAAGGCCACTGCCTCACCATAGGTGGTGTGTCTGCACCTACAGAGAGAAGCAGATCCAAAACTGACCAACTAGGTATTCCATCCCACATACGTCATATTCAGCACAAAGCTGAGGGATCACAAGGGTCTTAACCCTTCCATCTTGGAGCCCTTCCTTCCATCTTGACCCCTCCAATGGCCTAAGTCCGAGCAGAACCCTGCCAGTTCGTCTCTGCCTCTGATCCTGATCCCTGTGTCCTGCATCAGCTCCCACTGCTGCTGAGTTCGGTCTGAGACGTTTCCAGTGCCCTGCTCCGCAGAGCCT